CGTCTTCGAGCCTTTCTAATTTGAGAGTGAGAGTATCCCCTTTCCCTAAATCTTTTATAGAGGTCCTGAGCCTCCATCCTAAAGTCATTGATGTTTGAACAATTTCTCCGACATCTCAAAAACTGTCCCACTGGAATCCCTGAAATCAGTGAACGTGGGTGGTAGCTCCTAGCCTCTAATAGGGTATTGGCAGCAGTTGGTTTCCTATATGTCTTTGTGAGGAGTCTTCCATCTCAAGTCTAATTTCCAGATCCAGAAAAGAAATACATCTTTCGTCAGATATATATGTAAGTCCAATATTGAAGGAGTTTTGATTTAACTCTTCCATGAAAAGTTTTAATTCCTCAGATGTTCCTCGCCATACAAGGAACACGTCATCTATATATCTTAACCAAATCTGGACATTAACAAGAAATCTTGATGATCTGAAGACAACCTGCTCCTCCCAAAAACCTAAATGAAGACATGCGTAGGCCGGAGCCCACGGTGCTCCCATGCTAGTACCTCTAGTCTGTTGATAAAAGGTATTATTAAATTGAAAAAAGTTATGTCGTAATGCAAAATCCAACAACTCACTAATAAATTCATTCTGTCCTCCCAAAGTAGGATATGTTTTATCAAGGAAGTAAGAGGCCGATCTCACACCACATTCATGTGGGATAGAGGTGTAAAGTGATTCCACATCTATACCCACTAGAATGGAATTTTCATTAATAATCATATTCTCAATCTTAGCCAACACATCTTTAGTATCCCTTACATAAGAGGGGAGATTAGGGACCATGTCTTTAAGAAACAGATCTATATATTTCCCTGTTTTGTCTAGGGGACCATTAATGGCAGAAACAATAGGTCTACCCGGAGGATTTTCTTGATTTTTGTGTATTTTGGGGATAATATAAAAAGTAGGGTGATTAAATTCTTCAGTTCTCAGATACTCATACTCTTTTTTTAGTTAACAAACCCACTTCTTTTCCCAGTGTTAGGATAGAATTTAATTTTTTTGCCACCATATGAAAAGGATTAGTGGCTACTTTCCTATAGGTAGATGAATCACTTAATAAGTGCTTCACCTCCCTAACATAGTTTTGTTCATTTAAAATCACTACATTACCCCCTTTGTCACTTCTCTTAATTACAATATTCTTAGTCTCTTTTAATTCTTTAAGGGCTTTTCTTTCTTTTTTAGTAAGATTGTCACCAATTGGCATTTTCCACTCAAGATTTTTAAGATCATCAGCAACAAAATCTAGAAATGCCGAGATCCTCATGTTGGAATGAATTTTCGGCATTTTTGTCGATCTAATATTCAGATCAACTGAATTGCATACATGTGATATTTATATCTATGGTATAATTTTTTGAAACTCCCTGTTTGGGATATAACCACTCTGGTAGTAGCATAGTCTACACATTTATAACACGTGTTATGGTATACCTATGGTATAATTTTTTGTATACACCTCCTTTGGGAAGTGTTCACCTATGCGCCAGTGCCACAGGGACTTTAGACTCTTGTAGTCATTGTCCTTGTTGCACATGTATTTAGACCGGTACTGGTGTCATTTTATATGGTTTTAGGTCTGTGTGTATTGTCTCATACTGAGGTGATGGTAAACCAGGGCGATTGCCCATATGTCAAATTTGTATGTGTAATAAAGCATAATTTTTGGAAATTTTTCTGAGTATCACATTCTGTTCATAATGTAGCCGCTTTCTTTGTGAATTTCTTTTCACAACCCCTCTTTTTTTGTATAACTTCCTTCAGCTGCTTGCTGACTTGTCTCCAGTTACAATAGCAAAACGCAGCATGCCAAGGCCCTATCTACAAATTCTGCAGTCCGCTGATATCAAATATAGATGGGGTTTTCCATTTAAGCTCTCCTTTTTCTATCACGGTCATCAGCTCCAAGCTTCTTCTCGTGCGGATCTTCGTCGTCACTTCCAGGAACTGAAACTTGACTTGCCACAATCCCAGGCTGAGGAGGCCTCTATGCAAATAAAAAGATGGCCACCGCCCAAGTCTATAACTGGCTTATATAGCAAGGACACATAAACAGGCATCACATAGCGAATGAAGGGGAGAGAACAACGTTCTTGGACAACTTGCCAGCCAGCTTGCCAACAACCGAATTAACTTGTCTAACAGTATGCGTTTATAACAGGGGTTTAGTTAGCACACATTTGCAAATACACACATAAGCCACAGAGCCATGTCACGGCACCCTTATAATCTGTGGTCCTAACTCTACAATTTCTGAGAGCCCCCATAGTAGAGGCACATGTATTTAATGGATAGATCAAGGGCAGGTGGACCTGAGGAGCCCACCCCTCTTAAAGGCAAAGAAGTGCACAGGACCCTAACATATAGCACAATGGCAGCCAATAAATAGGCCCCATGGCTCATATTTGGTGGACTTGCCCCAAGGTGTGTAGATTGTGCATTAGGGTCTATGCCCTTCTCCACACTATGTTACACACAGATATTAAGTGCAACCCATACGAGGCGCTATTATTTAAACCATTAGTATGCCTACTTCGTCATGAGCGACAGCTGGCATCACATCTATTTATGGCTACCAAAATTAACGCTCGTGAGAGCTTGGAAGACTCCTCTTCTTAGCTTCGAGGCTGTCAAGAACCAGATGAATTTTATAATGGTTAATGAGAAGTTAACGTCCATGCTGTTAGACACCCACCCAAAGTTTTGCAGAGCTGGTGCCATTGGATTGATGTGGCCCAACCATCTAGATTTGACCAGACTCTTCTGTCAATATAAGACTCTGCTGCCATGATCCCCTGGAGCCCTTTCTTTGTCTTAACTATCCTTGTTTCTCCCTTTTTTTTGTTTTTCTTCTTTCTCTCCTGTTTTTGTTAGTCTTTATGTTATTTGTGCTGATTGTAATACTCTTACAGAATTGTACCTGCAATGTTTTATATACCTGTCAGACTTTCTTGAGAGTCCTTGAAGTGGAGTACCGATGTGCATCCAGCACGGCTCCGTGCAAGCTTTTCCTACCCTCTGTATGTGATTTTTGCTATTATCTTTGGCCCTTGTCTACTAGCCCATTGGTAATTACTTGTTTGCTATTAACACAATTTATCAGGTTTCTTTCCACCCTTTTATGTATTGTGTTTATGTACTCAGTTTCTCTCTTTGTCAATACTTCCGTGCATTTGTCATGTCCTTCATCAGAAATATTGCATACTTTATTTTTTTGTGTCAGTGATCTTGCTTTTGACTGTTTCTTTGTTGTTAGGTTGTCTATAATAAAAATCCATTGTAAAAGAGACTGTAACTTCTGCTCAAGCACACTGGAGTTACATTGTCCCAGCACTCAACTACATGTGTCCAATGTTATAGGCTCCAGGATTAAGCCCAGGAGTATTCACGGTGCAGTGCCATATGCACAAAATTAAAAAAAAAAAATGCTGGGGTAAAGAGGAAGAACATTTTTGGCAGATGAAATTTTGCATGTCTATTTTGCTGAAACTCTACATCTTAGCATTTTTTTTTATTTAGGAGCTTTAGTTCCACTTTGATGGATAATAACACTCATTTATCCATTCTACCTATCTAAGCAATGAATGTGATGGCATACCCAGTGCAAACAAAATTTTGGCAGCAAGCCGACAACATTGGCCATGGAATGCAATAGAAAGTTAGGCTAGTTTAGCTGGGCGCAGTCAGTGAAGATAAGTACACTTTAGGATCTTGCTTACAGGTAGGCAAACTACAAAGATTCCTTTTAGGTGTGCTGTTGCATTCTCGTTGTCCATTCAGAAGGAAGATAGAAGTAGAGAGATGACCAAGAGGAGTTGCTAAGCTATAGGAAAAAAAACACATCTGGCTATGCAGTCTGGCTTGGATGTTAATCTGTATATATTATCTGTATCGAATTAAAATCCTTCAGGAAAAAAACACTGATTTCCCTTATAGGTCACAAAGTATACATTTTGTCTTAGGTTATTTATTTTAGATTTTTCTTATTAGAACAAAAATGTAGTTTAATGCTAATCTGCACCAAGAATCAAAACATATAGAAAAATTATTTCAAAATACAATAGATGACAAATAATTCTGCTAAAAAATTTCAGCAAAAGTTAAAGCTCAGCACCAACCAGCCAGACAAAAAAAAAACATTTATACGTGATTTTAGGTGTTTATTAGTTTATTTTTTAAGAAATACATATTTTAAATGCAGCTAGTGTAGGCACCAGCATTTGTCTTGATATTAAGCCCCTGTAATGCAGTGCACAATAGAACTCAAAATAGGAGATAGAAAGACAGCCCTAGGGGTCAGTCGCTCCTTAGAACAGTGCAAATGTACTGACAGAGTAACATGCTGACAGAAGGAGAGAGCAGAGAGATTGTTTGGCAGTGTGATACTGCTCTTGACCAACTATACTGCTTCTGAAGTTGAGGTAGAAGGTTTAATTGTACTGTCTGCAGGGGTGTTTGAACCATAAGACTGGCTGAACAGAATTACAAATCCTTTGAAACATAAAAAAAAATTCCTATATATGCATTTCAACTGTGTAGTTAGCAGCTGACTTTGAGATCAGCTTAAAAGGCAACCCAAAAAGAAAATCTGCCAACATACATTTCACATTCTAAAAATGAAAAGAAGAAAATGCAAAGGCTAACTGGGAAAACCTGGTACAAACAATTGCAAATCTGTATCATAAAACAACCAGATTCTGCCATTTGTTCAATGATGGAAACAAAATGAAACCTTGCAATTTAAAAGGTTGACGTAGCCAACTGTTCCACCTTTTGTAAATGAACCTGAAGTTGTATGTAGACAAGCCACATTCAATTGGAACCATATTGGAACATATTATACTCCTCAGGCAAAAACATGCATGATAATATTTCAGAAGTAAAATAAATCAAAGGCACACAATAGTGCTTTATTTAGTCTATAAGTGAAAGCTATTAGGTAGACTAGTAAAATTCAAAAAGTATTGCACTTCTTTAAAGTGATTCAGTGATTTGTCTAATGTTTCTCTTTTTCAACTTCTTCTCTCCATTTTGCTTTCTTCTCCATATTCATGTGGACCAGTGTGCGGTCCTCCCTGAGAGCCTGAAGATGGGGACACAGATTCATCTTGTTACACATGTTATACATTATATGACTTCATAATTTGACTGTCTTATGTTAAAAGTGAGCTTATGAGAAAAGGGAAATGGCCATTCAACAGAGCTGTGTAGGTTATCTTGTACAAAGCAACTCACGTGTAAAGAGAGCAGAAATTCATAACTCAGGCCATACATAGATGCATATATATTGTATAAACCTACATATACACACACATGCATTTTATGTTAATGATTTTTGAACGTTAACTAGATGCAACATCTTTTTGCAATATAGGGGATTTGATTTTCTGTTTGTCATATACTGTATAACTGAGAGTGGATATCGCAGTTCCACTATAAACAGCAAAGTTTATCCCATAATATAACCTAGATTTTGAAACCCATTATAAGGTCCAGGTCACAGTATAGAGCTTGTGATATCACATAAAGTTCTCCCTCTGCTGTGACTGGAGGAGAGACCTATTCCATGACATTGAGAGATGCTGCAGAGCGTGCTGTTAATCATGCTACTATAACATCATGGAACACTGAGAAACAGGGGAGCATTTTTACTGAGGGAAAATGTAATCGAAGGCTTTTTAAAAGGGGGTACAGGACTATAAAGAGTTAAAAAGGAGAAATACTTTAAATTAGGCTTTAGCCCCTTGCTTCTGTCTCCCAGTGGCCCTTTAAGTGGGTTTTAGCACCACCAGCGGATTCCCGATCACGTGATCACTGATTGGTTGTCACAACATGATTAGAAGCCCATTCCACCAACCGTGAACGAGAGCGGTTGTAAGAGCTTGGTCAGTGTGCTTGTAGCATGCAGTGATCGCTCCTTCAGCACTGAACCTCTGAACCACATATACGCTTATGTGTGGTGACTTGGCGTTAAAGTCCACTTGAACTGCCGCCACATATATCTGTTATACCAGTAAGAAGTTCAAATGGAACTTTAGCCAGAAAATTTAGTCTTGATAGCTATACCTGCAAAAGGGCTCAGCATAAATTAATCTAAGTAAAAAGCTAAAAATAAGTGCCTATAACGTTTAAAATCCAGTAGGGCCCTGTCTTACCCTGCTCTGCAGTCTCAGTTGTCATGCATTTTCAGCACTGTGCTGATAATTACTAAGTCACTGAAGGCTGATCTGCTGACAGCCTAAAAATTTACTGCTACAGAGGAGGGCAGGAAACAAGAAATGACAGACTGTGTTGAAGAAAGACAGACTATGATGGGAGAAAACAAAAGCAGGAGAGGTGACAGGGCAAACTCTGCTGCCAATGAGACACAAAAGAATAAACTTACAAGGAAAGAGTCTTATCTTAGCCCCCTGATATTCTCTCCTTTTTACCAAGGTAGGCAACCTGTGAACTTTAGCACTGTAAAGTACCTGTCAGCTTTCCTCTCTTGTGGAGCCAAGACATACAATTAAGGCTGGAAATATGCATATTTTAATTGAAGAAAGTGAAATATCGTTTTTAAGACCAAGGAGAGGGTGAGAGTTTCCCATTACAAAGTTATGTGCTCTAAACTTCAACAAAATGGCATCCTCCAGCAAGACGGAACAGGAACATTAAAGTCGAAATATTTTATGCTACTACCTGATCAATTCAACTTAGACAGAGCTCAAGGGTCCCTAATCCTCAGTCACGCAGCTATACCATTAAACCGTAGAAGTGATCTGCACCACTGTGCTCTTAAAATCATGTTTATAATAGAAACCACAGCGCAAACGTCAGAAATACAGTAAGTTGGCGCATTTCAGCCTACACGGCTTTAGTCATAACTCACTGTATTTCTGACTTTTAGGTTGCGGTTTTGCTGGATGCAATTTACAGCACACACTATTTTGATAGCATAATTATTAATATGGAATGTATGTTCTTTTATTAAACATTAATTGTTTTTAAACTGTTGTGGGTAAAGTTGTACTTTAACCACTTGCTCTCCAGAAGATTTATCCCCCTTCCTGACCAGGCCATTTTTTTGCATTACGCTGCTGCATTACTTTAGTTGACAATTGCATGGTCATGCAACGCTGCACCCAAATTAAATTTACATCTTTTTTTTTCCCCCATGAATTGATATCTTTTGGTGGTATTTGATCACCTATGAGTTTATTTTTTTAGCCATAGAAAAAAAAGGATGACAATTTTGAGGAACAAAAACAATATTTTTTAATTTTTGTTATAAAACATGTCTAGTAAAAAAAAAAAAAAAAAAATTAAAAACACATTTTGTCAGACATTTAGGCTAAAATGTATTCTGCTATATGTCTTTGCTAAAAAAAAATCCAAATACATGTAAATTAATTGGTTTATGTGAAGGTTATAGTATTTACAAATGGCGGTATATATATACTGATTTTTTTTTTTTAACTAGCAGTAACGGCAATCAGCAAGTTATAGTGGGACTGAGGTGGACATTCTGACACTGCGGGGGAACAGACTTGGTGTCACTGATATCACCAGTGATCAATGTAAAAAAAAAAAAAAAAAAAAAGACTGACTGTACTAATGACTAATGGCACTGCGCAGGAAGGGTTAACATGAGGGGCAATCAGAGGGTTAACTGTGTGCAGGGACTGTTTTACTAGGGGGCTGTGTCAGTGTGCTTCACTGTAATCGCACAGCCATCCAGAGCAGTGTGCCCGAGCTGACAGGGAGGAGGACTGTTAGTGAACAAAACTGTCCTCCTCCCTGTTGGAGATCTTCGGAAATCTCCAGGTGCCAGTGAGTAATTACTAGCTGGGACCTGTTGATTCACAGCTGCGGCACGGGTAGGGCCCTACCCAGAAATGCAAAATCACGTATATATACATGAGATTTTGCGCACCTGTGCCGCCCTGTAGCAGTATTTCTGCTATAGGGCAGACATGAAGCAGTTAAATAGTATTATTTGCACTTTATTTAGCTTTACTTTGTCTAAATATAACATTTGAAGGTTAGAGGTTTTAAGAATATCTTAGGTCTGAGAGCTGCTGCACTGACAACTCATTCACCTCCAGTTGGACATGATTTACTGAAAAAGCAAAGCCCAGTAAAGTGAAGAGTACTTCACACAGCTTCACACTTTAATAAATAAGGTCCACTGCCAACTGTCTCACAACTGTCAAAACTGCACAGTAGCTGAAGTGTCTGGTTCATGCAATGCAAACAGGACACATAAATCTCTCTTTTATAACAGTTCACTAATCTAATCATTTGGAATGAATACCTTGTACATAACCTTGAATACATGTTTCTCTTTAAAAAAACTCTCCAATTTAACTTCAGCATGTCATTACAAATTTACACCAAAAAAAGCCTGACGTCTGACAATTTTATTTTGAATAGCCTGCAGTCTCCTCGGTCCTTCAAACTTGGATACAGAAAGCAAAGTTACCAACAGGAATAATAACCTGAGTAGTGTTTGAACCATAACCGTAAAAAAAAACCCCCAAAAAACATTGTTGTTGACCTTTAAATTCATTTAGGGCAAAGCAGGTCTGAGTAATTCTAGTGACAGATTACAGAGAGCTAAGTATTTCCTTCCCACCCGCATGTGACAGCATTGGGCCAATCACCAAACATCAGCGAGGTAGAGGAATGAAGGAAAATGTGCTGATGGGGAAAGGGGTAACTAAATCAAACCCCTTGGTTTGCTCTGCCCCTCTGTTCATTTTAACTCTATAGTGAGTATGATAGAAAAACCTTTATAGAGAAATTACTGACAGCACAGCTTTAGCATAGCCTGAATGGTGCCAGAGAAGCACCTCAAATAGCTCCCGAACACCCTCACTTTCATTGTAATAGGGAACTGTGACCTGAGATTTCAGGTACCTAGTAACTATAGAAAAATGTTATGCCAGCCTATTTGATTTAAAGCAAAACTTCACACTCTCAATCAATACGGACTATCAGGGGCGGACTGACAACTCATGGGGCCCCCGGACAATAGGGGATCATGGGGCCCCTGTGTCCTTGCCCACACTCAAAGCACACCCAAAAAAACCTATTTAAAAAAAAAAAAAAAAAATGCCAGGGGCATTTCATGGGCCCCCTACTGACCCCGGGCCCTCGGGCAGCACCTGAGTGCTTGAATGGTCAGTCCGCCCCTGCTGACTATTTTGAATAATTATGCTGCAAGCAGTAGTAAATACATGCTTATTTACTTGTTTTAAATGTTTTTTATACATTTCTTCAGCTACTTTCTGGTTTATGGCCTAGGCAAAAAATGTCATACATCCCAGGAGTCTTCAGGAGGGAAGGAGGGGGCTTCCTTGGGTAACTACATCCTCCTGTCTGCATACTTGAGCTAAGGGCATATGGAGTCCAGGAAGTAAATACTACATGAATCATCTGCCCCTACTCAAGATGGCCACAGCCAGAAATGCTAGGGGATTTTTTCAAAGTGACTTCTCAGCAAAATAAAGCATGGAGACATGGATGAATGGGTGAGTTTGCTTTGAGTTATAAAAATGAATTACATAGCATTTCTGGTTTGTGATGTTCAGATGCAGTATAGTTCCACATTAGGACATTGGTACTCAAAGATCTTCAAGAACTACATAATACAAAAATAGGGATGGGCTTGATGTAAGTTTGACTCAAAGCACCGGTAGTTCATGTGTTCGCCGAACACATGAACAGGGGCGGACTGACAACTCATGGGGCCCCCGGGCAATAGGGGATCATGGGGCCCCTGTGTCCTTGCCCAAACTCAAAAAAGCCTATGAAAAAGGTACCAGAGGCATCTCATGGGGCTCCCTACTGACCCCGGGCCCTCGGGCAGTGCACGAGTTTCCAAATGGTCAGTCCGCCCCTGCACATGAACGGTAAGGGCGTTCGGCAGGCTATTCACCCACCGCTCCCCACAATGCACTGCGTTCTCACAGTGCATTGTGATTGACCAAAGAAATGCACTTGGCCACAGGTCAGGTGCAATGCTTTGGCAAATCACAGCACAATTGGATGGAGCTAGCAGTGACATCACTGCTAGCTCCACCCAATTGTTTAAATCTGACCTGCCAATGTCAGATTGCGGCTAGTGCTCGGTAGGTACGGACAGGTCGGCGAGCAGCGAGTTTTCTATATTTTGCCGAGTTGGCATCATTGTGACACCACTGCATGCCATGATTGACGATGGAACAGGGTTTTTTTTTTTTTTTTTGCACCCGTTTTTAAATTAAAGGACTTGTCAAAAACGGTTTTGTTTTTGTTCAATTAAAGGGATTTTTCAAAAGTCTGGCAACTTTATTTATCCCATACTCATTCATGGGGGGGGGCAGCATCAGGTACCCTCTTATTTAAAGGAGTACCCTAATGCTAATGAGCTCACCTGCCCTCAGACCCCCACAACCACCAGGCCAGGGATGTGGAGAAGAGGCCCTTGTCCCCACCTGACCTGGTAATCCACAGGGAGGAGGGGCACTCGTTTGTCCCCCACCTTGCATATAAGCCTTCAAAATGGGCACTTTTAAATTTACAAGTTTGAGTCCTATAGACTTGCACTGAGTTTGAAGTTCACGGTCGAACATTCATTAGGTTTGAATATTCAATCATGAACCGAACATGGGGGTGTTCGGCCCATCACTATTTAAGAACAGATTTGTTACAGTAGGCAATTGAAAAAAATAGTTTAAAGTGTAGAACATTGTAAAATAACCAGTTAAACCTAAGCAATTCAACAGGACCAAATTATTAAATATGCACAGTTTGCCCTCAGAGAAAACTACCTGTCCAGTCATCACTAGATCCAAAAACTAAGGCCCCATTCACAACTGCATATGGGGCCAACTGCAATTAACCATCGGAGACTCAACAGGTTTCCTGCAAATAACTGCTGGCATCCCATTCAAATCAATGGGAGGCTTACAGCGACTACTGCATGTTAGATTACATGTGAATGACTGCAATTATCTGCGGATGATTGGCCCTGGACACAGCCTGTCTGATATCAGAGCTGATAATCCTCAAATAATCCCTACATGTATGATTGCATGTGAACAGCAATGAATGGCTGTGGGTGCTATCAGAATACCATGGCTTTGAATGGGGTTCCCCATCTACAGCTATTTGCTGGAAACCCCTCTGAGTGTCCTGTGTGTAATCACAGATTGCCCCACATGCAAGTATGAGCATCTGAAGTTACATTCAAAATTCATTGTTTCCTTTAAAAGTTGGACCCTGCTCATCAGCCTCCCATCCCATTACCGGACCAATAGGAAACTTTGGAGGCAGGAAGAGAAGGCCCAAGTTTAATTTTTACAGGAAAAGTTAAGATCTGCAAATACTTTTTAGCTGCCTATACTGACCTCTTGATTTTGTTGAAGTTTAATGAAGGTAACCTCCTTTACTGCAGTTTTTCATTACATGATTTGTTTACATGATTTGATAGATTTACTTTTAGTCACAAAGGAGGTAAATGTAAGTAAGTTATATAACAACAGGCATATTGAGTACTTACTTTTTTACCAGACCACACCATAAAAACACATCCAATAAGTGTTGCAGCAATCATTCCCATGGCAACCTTTATGCGCAATTTATTTCTGGAAGATGCTAGGGTTTCCGACCTGAAAAAAAAAAAAAAAATACAAATACAATTATATACACCTACACACATATATATACAGTGGGGATCGAAAGTTTGGGCACCCCAGCTAAAAAAATTTGTATTAATGTGCATAAAGAAGCCAAGGAAAGATGGAAAAATCTCCAAAAGGCATCAAATTACAGATTAGACATTCTTTAATATGTCAACAAAAGTTAGATTTTATTTCCATCATTTACACTTTCAAAATAACAGAAAACAAAAAAATGGCGTCTGCAAAAGTTTGGGCACCCTGCAGAATTTATAGCATGCACTGCCCCCTTTGCAAAGCTGAGACCTTCCAGTGTCATGGATTGTTCTCAATCATCGTCTGGGAAGACCAGGTGATGTCAATCTCAAAGGTTTTAAATGCCCAGACTGATCTGACCTTGCCCCAACAATCAGCACCATGGGTTCTTCTAAGCAGTTGTCTAGAAACCTGAAACTGAAAATAGTTGACGCTCACAAAGCTGGAGAAGGCTATAAGAAGGTAGCAAAGCGTTTTCAGATGTCAATATCCTCTGTTTGGAATGTAATTAAGAAATGGCAGTCATCAGGAACAGTGGAAGTTAAAGCAAGATCTGGAAGACCAAGAAAAATATCAGACAGAACAGCTCGCAGGATTGTGAGAAAACAATTCAAAACCCACGTTTGACTGCACGATCCCTCCAGAAAGATCTGGCAGACACTGGAGTTGTGGTACACTATTCCACTATAAAGAGATACTTGTACAAATATGGTCTTCATGGAAGAGTCATCAGAAGAAAACCTCTTCTACGTCATCACCACAAAAATCATCGTTTGAACTTTGCAAATGAACATATAGACAAGCCTAATGCATTTTGGAAACAAGTTCTGTGGACCGATGAGGTTAAAATTGAACTTTTTGGCCGGAATGAGCAAAAGGTACGTTTGGAGAAGAAGGGGCACAGAATTTAATGAAAAGAACCTCTGTCCAACTGTTAAGAATGGGGTTGGATCAATCATGCTTTGGGGTTGTGTTGCAGCCAGTGGCACAGGGAACATCTCACGAGTAGAAGGAAAAATGGATTCAATAAAATTTTCAGCAAATTTTGGATGGTAACTTGATGCCATCTGTGAAAAAGCTGAAGTTAAAGAGAGGATGGCTTCTACAAATGGATAATGATCCTAAACACACCTCGAAATCCACGGGGGATTACATCAAGAGGCGTAAACTGAAGGTTTTGCCATGGCCTTCACAATCTCCTGACCTCAACATAATTGAAAATCTATGGATAGACCTTAAAAGAGCAGTGCGTGACAGACAGCCCAGAAATCTCAAAGAACTGGAAGACTTTTGTAAGGAAGAATGGGCAAAGATACCTCAAACAAGAATTGAAAGACTCTTGGCTGGCTACAAAAGTTTTACAAGCTGTGATACTTGCCAAAGGGAGCAGTACAAGATATTAACTCTGCAGGGTGCCCAAACTTTTGCAGATGCCATTTTTTTGTTTTCTGTTATTTTGAAAGTGTAAATGATGGAAATAAAATCTAACTTTTGTTGACATATTATAAGAATGTCTAATCTGTAATTTGATGCCTTTTGGAGATTTTTCCATCTTTCCTTGGCTTCTTTATGCACATTAATACAACCTTTTAGCTGGGGTGCCCAAACTTTCGATCCCCACTGTATATATATATATGTATATATATATATATATATATATATATATATATATATATATATACATATATACATACACACACACATATACATATATATATATATATATATATATATATATATATATATATATATATATATATATATATATACACATATATATATATACACACATATATATATACACACACATACACACACACACACACAGTCAGGTCCATAAATATTGGAACATCGACACAATTCTAACATTTTTGGCTCTATACACCACCACAATGGATTTGAAATGAAACAAACAAGATGTGCGTTAACTGCAGACTGTCAGCTTTAATTTGAGGGTATTTACATCCAAATCAGGTGCACGGTGTAGGAATTACAACAGTTTGCATATGTGCCTACCACTTGTTAAGGGACCAAAAGTAATGGGACTATTGGCTTCTCAGCTGTTACATGGCCAGGTGTGTGTTTTTCCCCTCATTATCCCAATTACAATGAGCAGATAAAAGGTCCAGAGTTCATTTCAAGTGTGCTATTTGCATTTGGAATCTGTTGCTGTCAACTCTCAAGATGAGATCCAAAGAGCTGTCACTATCAGTGAAGCAAGCCATCATTAGGCTGAAAAAAACAAAACAAACCCATCAGAGAGATAGCAAAAACATTAGGCATGGACAAAACAACTGTTTGGAACATTCTTAAAAAGAAGGAACGCACCAATGAGCTCAGCAACACCAAAAGACCCGGAAGACCACGGAAAACAACTGTGGTGGATGACCGAAAAATGCTTTCCCTGGTGAAGAAAACACCCTTCACAACAGTTGACCAGATCAAGAACACTCTCCAGGAGGTAGGTGTATGTGTGTCAAAGTCAACAATCAAGAGAAAACTTCACCAGAGTGAATACAGAGGGTTCACCACAAGATGTAAACCATTGGTGAGCCTCAAAAACAGGAAGGCCAGATTAGAGTTTGCCAAACGACATCTAAAAAAGCCTTCACAGTTCTGGAACAACATCCTATGGACAGATGAGACCGAGATCAACTTGTACCCGAGTGATGGGAAGAGAAGAGTATGGAGAAGGAAAGGAACTGCTCATGATCCTAAGCATACCACCTCATCAGTGAAGCATGGTGGTGGTAGTGTCATGGCGTGGGCATGTATGGCTGCCAATGGAACTGGTTCTCTTGTATTTATTGATGATGTGACTGCTGACAAAAGCAGCAGGATGAATTCTGAAGTGTTTCGGGCAATATTATCTGCTCATATTCAGCCAAATGCTTCACAACTCATTGGACGCCGCTTCACAGTGCAGATGGACAATGACCCAAAGCATACTGCAAAAGCAACCAAAGAGTTTTTTAAGGGAAAGAAGTGGAATGTTATGCAATGGCCAAGTCAATCACCTGACCTGAATCCGATTGAACATGCATTTCACTTGCTGAAGACAAAACTGAAGGGAAAATGCCCCAAGAACAAGCAGGAACTGAAGACAGTTGCAGTAGAGGCCTGGCAAAGCATCACCAGGGATGAAACCCAGCGTCTGGTGATGTCTATGTGTTCCAGACTTCAGGCTGTAATTGAGTGCAAAGGATTTGCAACCAAGTATTAAAAAGTGAAAGTTTGATTTATGATTATTATTCTGTCCCATTACTTTTGGTTCCTTAACAAGTGGGAGGCACATATGCAAACTGTTGTAATTCCTACACCGTTCATCTGATTTGGATGTAAATACCCTCAAATTAAAGCTGACAGTCTGCAGTTAAAGCACATCTTGTTTGTTTGATTTCAAATCCATTGTGGTGGTGTATAGAGCCAAAAATGTTAGAATTGTGTCGATGTCCCAATATTTATGGACCCGACTGTATATGTATATATATATATATATATATATATATATATATATATATATATATATATATATATATATATATATATACACACACACACACACACACACACATACACACACACACACTTATTTATACAAGGCTTTTTTTCAGCCGAAACTTTCAACAACCTCTGGAGCTGGGCCTCTGCTTGCCCTACTCCACTTTCACTTGTAACCTATCCCAACAGCTCCACACAAAGCGCGGGAGGGGTGCCCACTCCATGTTTAGTGCACTCCTGAACTCTGCACTCCATGTTTAGTGCTTTCCTGAACCTTGAACTCTGTGAGCAATAGACTCCCCTGAACCCTGCACTCTGTGCATTATGCATTCCTGTTTTTATTTAACAATGCCCCTTTAACCACTTGCTGACCGCAGATAGCCGAATGACGGCTTCACTGGGCCCACCAGTTCTGGGAGGGCGTCATATGACGTCCTCCCAGAATGCGCCCTACCATACGCCCCCGGGGCCTACGGACACAGCAGATCACATGATGTGGTAAAAGGCCAATCACAGAGTCCTTTTACCACATGAACAGCCGTGTCCAATGACACAGCAGATCACTGGTAAATGCAGCTGCCAGTTATCAGCTGCACTTTCCTCACGCTGTCACAGCATGAGGAAAGTACTGCCGATAACCTGCAATTGTCATAGGGGGGATCGGAACCAATCAGGGCACTGGGCAATGACCAGTGCCCAGCAGTGCCACCCACCAGTGCCACCCATCTGTGTCACCCACAAGTGCCCAGCAGTGCCACCCAGCAGTGCCGCCAGTCTGTCCTCAGCAGTGCCGCCAGTCTGTGCCGCCTATCAGTGCCCATCATTATTGCCTATCAGTGCCACCTCATCAGTGCTGCCTATCAGTGCTGCCAATAAGTGCAGCCTCATCAACGCACATCAGTGAAGGAGAAAAATTACCTGTTTGCAAAATTTTATAATAGAAACAAAGTAAAAACATTTTTTTTTCAAAATGTTTGCTCTTTTTTTGTATATAGCGCAAACAATAAAAACACCCAGCAATGAGTGCATACCACCAAAAGAAAGCTCTATTTGTGTGAAAAAAATTTCATATGGGTATAATGTTGCATGACTGCGCAATTGTCACTCAAATTTTCGACAGCACTGAAAGCTGAAAATTGGTCTGGGCAGGAAGGGGGTATAAGTGCCCTGTAGGCAAGTGGTTAAGACCCATTCAATTTGGCCACAACTTCCATTTGATGCCCACAATGTTCCACATCGCTAATCTCCCCTTTGTCAGCAAGGTGGGGGGTTGTCAAGGTTCATGAATTTCTGCACCTATTCATTTAAAATAAAATAAAAAGCCATCTGTCTGCACTGCACAACGGACTGGATAACTGATAGTTTCCATTCAACTGTATAAGATTGCTACTTCATAGATCATGAAGTTATCGCTCTCTCCCAAGCCAACAATAAACACATATTACTGCTTGTAAGTGACTTAATAGATTTGCAACCTCTTAAAAAGGGGCCTGCTAAAAAATATACATAACAAACTACTAATAACATTTAACAGACAGTGAACTAGGTAATTTTAGCTAAATAATGCATGTGGGCACATATGCTTGCTGTGAAAAGGGTCAGTAGTAACACAGAGTGCAGAGGTCACTATTATATAACACAGAGTGGAGGTCAGAATTATGTAACACAGTAGAGAAGTAACACGGAGTGCAGGGATCAGAAGTAAGTAGCACAGAGGTCAGTAGTATGTAAGGCACAGTACAGGGGTTAGCAGCAAGGCAGAGTTCAGAAGTTAGTGTATGTAAAGCAAAGTCCCCGGGTCAGTAGTAACACAAAGGGCAGAGGTTAGTAGTATGCAACACATAGTGCAGACGTATGGACTGCAGAAGTTATTGGTATGTAAAGCACAGTGCAGAGGCCAGGAGTACAAAGACGTCAGAAGTATGTAATGCACTGTGCAGAGGTCAGAAGTAAATAACAAAGGTCAGTAGTAGGTAATGCACTGTGCAGAAATCAGGAGTAAATAATGCAGAGGTCAGTAGTATGTAATGCACTGTGCAGAGGTCAGGAGTAAATACCATAGAGGTCAGTAGTATGTAAAGCACTGTGCAGAGGTCAAGAATAAATAACAGTCAGTAGTATGTAATGCATTGTGGAGAGGTCAGGAGTAAATACCATAGAGGACAGTATTTATTATTATTATACAGTATATTTATATAGCGCCAACAGTTTGCTCAGCACTTTACAATATAATGGGAGACAGTACACAAGACAGTACAGTAACAATACAATACACGAGGGGTTAGTATGTAATGCACTGTGCAGAGGTTAGGAGAAAGTGATGCAGAGTGCAGTAGTATGAAACACAATGTGCGGAAGTCAAGAGTAAGTAACGCAGTGGTGAGTGGTACGTAATTCTCAGTGCAGAGGTCAGATCTGAGTGGGGATTCCATAAATTTTCAGGGCTAGCCTCTCATTTCCTGTTTTGGCTATAGGTCAGGACACAAAGTGAAATCTCCCTAATGAGACATAGATGACAAAAAATAAAATGGTAGGGGTTATAACACTCCCTTACTCTAACCAAAAAGTTAACTGAAGGCTAGCTATTGCTAAAAGAATCCACGTGGTGGAGCTAAGCTCTCCTCCTCCTGACCATCCTGCACCCCAAAGCTCCATGCAGCGGAGGAATCCCACAGCAGAATGTTCAGGAGAAGGAGAACTTAGCCCCACACAGCATCCGATACCACTGAATTAAGTACCCCCAAGATCTGGCCTTGCTCAAAAATATAAAATATTGCATCTTACAGTTCTCAGATGTGGTGACATTGAGTTTTCCTATTTTTCAGGCATTTTTCCCTTTTTTTTCAGCTAGTAATCCTTTGAATAACACACTCCCTGCCCCTTCCTGTCTACACTCATTTCTCTGCTGTATCTATGGAGGTAGAAATGGTTTTCATACCAGCTGGACTTCAAACATGCCTTGTTTTTGCTATCTTTTCACATTACTGGTATTCACAAGGGCCCTGAATGTCAATCAAGATCTGTATTTTTTGTACTTTCTGAAAACAAATGCAGCCACCAACATCTATAGATTGGTAAACTGCAATATATTACATTTTTGTTTTTAAGTTTAGATACACTTTAAGCTATAGGGCAGAGGAGGTTGGCTTCAAGACAACAGTCAATAGCTTTTTTGGCCATACTTCTCCCGTGAATCACAGGAGTTCACTTACTTTTGATTACCCGTGACACAGCATCTGCTGAAAATGTGCTAAAGCCCACTGTCAGCTCACATCAGAGCCACTCCAGGCTCTGGAAGGATTCCAACCACATTGTCTGGAATCCACCCAGCTGCCTGACTGACAGCAGGTTCCAGCTCTCAGAGAGCGTCAGAGTCTAAGCCAGTTGTGCTTACCCCCTCTCTTGGCATTCCAGTGAGCGCTTGAGGGGTAGAGAGGCGAGTCGTGACCAACAGTCACAGTTCTCCATTTCAAGCAGACCAAGAACTGAGAAATCAGTGGTCAAGTGGTCACCCATTTCTCTGGATTAGAGCTGACATAGGAAAGCTGCAGCATCACAGCCCTGCAGCAACACAGGTGGGTATGTATTATTATTATACAGGATTTATATAGCGCCAACAGTTTGCACAGTGCTTTACAATATAAAGGGGGACAATACAACTACAATACAGTTCAATACAGAAGGAATAGGAAAGCTCTACTCATGGAGCTTCCAATCTAAAGGAAGGGGAAAGTGGTACAAAAGGTGATAACTGCAGGGATAATCAGATGGAGCTGACTCAAGTACAGTTCTTAGGTGGAGGTGGGGTAGGCTTCCCTGAATAATTGAGTTTTTCAAAAGATCGCCTAAAGGCAGACAGGGTGGGGGCTAACTGGACATATTGGGGAAGGGAGTTCCAGAGGATGGGAGAGGTTCAGGAGAAGTTCTGGAGGCAAGCATGGGAGGAGGTGACAAGGGAGCTAGAGAGCAAGATTTCATGGAAGGAACGGAGTGGATGATTTGGATGATATCTGTAGATGAGGTTGGTGATGTAGCTAAGGATGGCTTTGTACGTTGTGGTTAGTATATTCAATTTTATAAGTTGAACTAGCGGAAGCCAGTGAAGGGATTGGCAGGGAAGCAGTTGCTGATCAGTTGGTAAGGTGTATACGTTTAGCAGCAGCATTAATAATAGACTGAAGGTGGGATAGCCAGTATAAAAGGTAGGCCGGTGAGGAGGGAGTTGCAGTAATCAAGGTGGGATACAACCAAGGCGTGGATAGGTTGTTTTGTGGTGTCATTAGTCAGGAAGGGGTGAATTCTGGAAATGTTGCGGAGGTTGAGGCAGCAGGATTTAGTCAGATTGGATGTGGGACCCGAAGGAGAGGTCAGAGTCTAGGGTTACACCTAGCACCCTTGCAAGTGGGGAGGGACTAATGGTTTTGCTGTTGATCTTAATGGTAAAGTCATCAGTGGGGGATCAAGGAGGAGAAAATATTACAAGCTTGGTTTTAGAAAGATTGAGTTTGAGTATGTACAGTTTTTTTTTTAACTCCCAAATGTATTTAATCATTTACTCACGAGACATATTCTGGAATATCCTCCTTTGTTTTGTAACGTCCAGTCCACAAAAGCACCTTTTTATCAAAATCTGATGGTTTCATCTCATTTCTGTATAATTGGTTAGCTAGAAAAAAAAGAAACAAAAAGAAAAAGGTAAAAACAATGATTCTGAATGGGATCAATTTTAAAACTGTTACATGGGCTACATGAACAAAGCACATTTACTTTTTCTTATTCACATCACTGTGGTGCGGGTGCTCATTACTGCAATACACCGTAACATACATTGAAGTGATTGGATGTCATTCATTCTGAAGAGCACCTCAACGCTCACCTTCAATGAACACCACCATGTGTTGCAGAATATGTTGCATGCGTGACTTTTTCAGTCCATTGTGGTGCATTAGGCAAGCTTAAAATTACATGCTAATTAATTGTGTGTAAATGCACATGTTTAACCCCTTGTCCACCAAGGTACACTTATAAACGTCCTGTAGTGAAGGAGTTAAATCAAGCTTGGTATTGTTTTTACTAGCCAACTCTCAGCTGTCATGTGAAAGTAATCTAGGCATTTATGGAGACTCCCTTCCCCCACCATTCCTGCCCGCAGCATTTCCCATATTCTCCTGTCCCTTCAAGGAGCCCTGAGCTGCAGTAAATGGCTTCAGGATTTCAAGCAGGAGGAGACTGGGAAGCATCCATTCCCCATCTCCTATCTGATGAATGAACCTGAAAGTGATGAACGTTTTGTCACATCCGATTTCAGGACTTGATAGACCCCAAATGTTCCATAAAGAGGACTTTTCACCTGCCCAGTGCTTTGACATAGGGGCTTGTTACCAGGGGCGGACTGACAACTCATGGGGCCCCCGTGTCCTTGCTCAAACTCAAAAAAGCCTATGAAAAAAGGTACCAGGGGCGTCTCATGGGGCCCCCTACTGACCCCAGGCCCTCAGGCAGTGCCCGAGTTTCCCAATGGTCAGTCCGACTCTGATTGTTACCGCCCTTGTAATAACAAAAAGAAAAAAAAAAAAAAGTGTAAAAAAATATATATGATTAAATAAATAACTATGCACACACGTTAATGCAAGTGCACACGCTCACAATGGATGGCCCTTGAAGCCTATGGGTGGCATCACAGCTCCCAGGATTACCAGCCATTGCTGGAGCGCTCTCCCCTGCAGCCCCAAACAGCAAGATCACATGATTGGACCAGAGCCACCCTAAAAATTGATAAGTATATCTATCCCATAGACGGGTTAGTCAGAATATGTGTTAGGAGAGGGGGCATTTTTAAGAGTAATTAGGTTTTTCCTGAAATTCTACTTTAAAAAGGGAAGTGGACAAAGCTTTTTTGGCCAGACATCTCGTGGGTCACAGGAGTGCTCTTACTTTTTTAGGATCTACCCAGCTGCCTGATTGACAGTTGGTTTGGCCTCTCAGCATGAGGATGAGAACTGGAACCAGCTGCACCAACCCTGGCAGACATGCTGCAAGACCTGGACAGAGGCGGCAGACATGCTGCAAGACATGGACAGAGGCGGCAGACATGCTGCAAGACATGGACAGAGGCGGCAGACATGCTGCAAGACATGGACAGAGGCGGCAGACATGCTGCTAGACATGGACAGAGGCGGCAGACATGCTGCTAGACATGGACAGAGGCGGCAGACATGCTGCTAGACATGGACAGAGGCGGCTGACATGCTGCTAGACATGGACAGAGGCGGCAGACATGCTGCTAGACATGGACAGAGGCGGCAGACATGCTGCAAGACATGGACAGAGGCGGCAGACATGCTGCTAGACATGGACAGAGGCGGCAGACATGCTGCTAGACATGGACAGAGGCGGCAGACATGCTGCTAGACATGGACAGAGGCGGCAGACATGCTGCTAGACATGGTCAGAGGCGGCAGACATGCTGCAAGACATGGTCAGAGGCGGCAGACATGCTGCAAGACATGGTCAGAGGCGGCAGACATGCTGCAAGACATGGACAGAGGCGGCAGACATGCTGCAAGACATGGACAGAGGCGGCAGACATGCTGCAAGACATGGACAGAGGCGGCAGACATGCTGCAAGACATGGACAGAGGCGGCAGACATGCTGCAAGACATGGACAGAGGCGGCAGACATGCTGCAAGACATGGTCAGAGGCGGCAGACATGCTGCAAGACATGGTCAGAGGCGGCAGACATGCTGCAAGACATGGTCAGAGGCGGCAGACATGCTGCAAGACATGGTCAGAGGCGGCAGACATGCTGCAAGACATGGTCAGAGGCGGCAGACATGCTGCAAGACATGGTCAGAGGCGGCAGACATGCTGCAAGACATGGTCAGAGGCGGCAGACATGCTGCTAGACATGGACAGAGGCGGCAGACATGCTGCTAGACATGGACAGAGGCGGCAGACATGCTGCTAGACATGGACAGAGGCGGCAGACATGCTGCTAGACATGGACAGAGGCGGCAGACATGCTGCAAGACATGGTCAGAGGCGGCAGACATGCTGCAAGACATGGACAGATGCGGCAGACATGCTGCAAGACATGGACAGAGGCGGCAGACATGCTGCAAGACATGGTCAGAGGCGGCAGACATGCTGCAAGACATGGTCAGAGGCGGCAGACATGCTGCAAGACATGGTCAGAGGCGGCAGACATGCTGCAAGACATGGTCAGAGGCGGCAGACATGCTGCAAGACATGGTCAGAGGCGGCAGACATGCTGCAAGACATGGTCAGAGGCGGCAGACATGCTGCAAGACATGGTCAGAGGCGGCAGACATGCTGCAAGACATGGTCAGAGGCGGCAGACATGCTGCAAGACATGGTCAGAGGCGGCAGACATGCTGCAAGACATGGTCAGAGGCGGCAGACATGCTGCAAGACATGGTCAGAGGCGGCAGACATGCTGCAAGACATGGTCAGAGCCGGCATGCATGCTGCAAGACATGGTCAGAGCCGGCATGCATGCTGCAAGACATGGTCAGAGCCTGCATGCATGCTGCAAGACATGGTCAGAGCCTGCATACATGCTGCAAGACATGGTCAGAGCCTGCATACATGCTGCAAGACATGGTCAGAGCCTGCATACATGCTGCAAGACATGGTCAGAGGTGGCAGACATGCTGCAAGACATGATCAGAGACTTCAGACATGATATAAGAGATGGTCAGAGACTGCAACATGATACAAGAGATGGTCAGAGACTGCAGACATGATACAAGAGATGGTGAGAGACTGCAGACATGATACAAGAGATGGTGAGAGACTGCAGACATGATACAAGAGATGGTGAGAGACTGCAGACATGATACAAGAGATGGTGAGAGACTGCAGACATGCTTCAGGAGAAGTCATGAACTCACTGCTATTACAGCCTCTTTGCACATTGGTGCTTCATTATTTGTGCTTCCTACAGTTCCTTTAGGCCTCATGCACACAAACATTACCCAGCATAAAATATGACCAGTGTAAAGACACAGCATTTACCTGCGCCCAGGAAATAGAAAGTAGGCCATGGAAGTGAATTGCTGTATGCTCCTATATCCATGTAAATGCTGGCACTCCTGTGCATCTGTGCATATTTTCCCAAAAACACGTTTTTGTGTGTTCATAAAATACGTTGAATACACATGTAAAGGTAAACAGTGATACATAGAGGTTTACAGGAGTGCATAGCAATGCACCTCTATGGCTGGCTGCAGGAAACCTTTGTGGTTCTTTACGCTAGGCATATTTTATGCCTGAAAAGGTCAGAGTGTATGTAGTTGTGTGAGATCAGATTCAAGCTGGAACTTGCACACAGTTACTCCAGACATCAAAGAATGTTTAAGGGCTTCCTGACAATGTTTATTGTTATTATTACAGAAAAGCACAACCAAACAGAACGTTTCCTCGCAGGAGTAATCATCACAGACCAAGATCCAACAAAAATGATTTTCTGGGCTAATAGTGAGATCACACTGGGTCTGTTGAGACTTGAAGACATGTTCCATCACCACCCATATGTATGCTTTCCTCAACAACACTGATTACCCAGGGGAGAGAAGATATTCCCCTGGTATGGCCAGTGTTTAACATCCTATATACTGCTACAGACCTTTCACTGCCACCAATTTATTGTATGATGTGAAAAAAAACTAAGCGGCAGGTACACTCCACCCACAGCTTTTCCCTGGACTGACAGGGGCTGTTTGTCACATTAGCCTTAAAGCCGTATTAATCCAAAAACCAAAAATATTACACACTGCTCAGAAAAATTAAAGGAACACTTTGAAAACTCATCAAATCTCAATGGGGAAAAATCTCATGCTGGATATCTACTGATATGGACTGGGTAATGCGTTAGGAACATAAGGATGCCCCATCGTTTGATGGAAATGAACATTATCAACCTACAGAGGACTGAATTCAAAGACACCCCAAAATCAAAGTGAAAAAATGCTGCAGCAGGCTAGTCCATTTTGCTGAAATTTCATTGCAGCAACTCAAAATGGTACTCAGTAGTTTGTATGGCCCTCACGTGCTTGTATGCATGCTTGACAACATCAGAGCATGCTCCTAATGAGACGACGAGTGGTGTCCTGGGGTATTTCCTCCCAGATATGGACCAGGGCATCACTGAGCTCCTGGATAATCTGAGGTGCAACCTGGTGGCATCTGATGGACTGAAACATGATATCCCAGAGGTGTTCTATTAGATTTAGGTCAGGCAAGAGTGGGGAACATTCAATGGTATCAATTCCTTCATCCTCCAGGAACTGCCTCCATACTCTGGCCGCATGAGACCGGACATTGTTGTGCACCAGGAGGAACCCAGGACCCACTGCATCAGTGTAGGGTCTGACAATGGGTTCAAAGATTTCATCCCAATACCGAATGGTAGTCAGGGTGCCATTGTCTAGCCTGTAGAGGTCTGTGTGTCCCGCCATGGATATGCCTCCCCCAGACCATCACTGGCCCACCACCAAAATGGTCATGCTGAACGATATTACAGGCAGCATAATGTTCTCCACGGCTTCTCCAGACTCTTTCATGTGCTCAGAGTGAACCTGCTCTCATCTGTGAAAAGCACAGGGTGCCAGTGGTGGACCTGCCAATTCTGGTGTTCAATGGCAAATGCCAATCGAGCTCTATGGTGCCGGGCAGTGAGCACAGGGCCCACTAGATGGCGTTGGGCCCTCCACCCTCATGAAGTCTGTTTCTGATTGTTTGGTCAGAGACATTCACACCATTGGCCTGCTTGATGTCATTTTGTAGGGCTCTGGCAGTGCTCATCCTGTTCCTCCTTGCACAAAGGAGCAGATACCGGTCCTGCTGATGGGTTAAGGACCTTCTGCGGCCCTGTTCAGCTCTCCCAGAGTAACTGCCTATCTCCTGGAATCTCCTCCATGCTCTTGAGACTGTGCTGGTAGACACAGCAAACCTTCTGGCAATGGCATATATTGACGTTCCATCCTAGAGAAGTTGGACTGTCTGTGCAACCTCTGTAGGGTCCAGGTATCGCCTCATGCTATCAGTAGTGACACTGACCCTAGCCAAATGCAAAATTAGTGAAAAACAATCAGAAAAGATGAGTAGGGAAAAAAATGTCAGTGGTCTCCACATGTAAAACCATTCTTGTTTTGGGGGTCATCTCATTGTTGCCCATCTAGTGCACCTGTTGTTAATTTCATTAACCCCAAAGCAGCTGAAACTGATTAACAACCCCCTCTGCTACTTAACTGGCCAGATCAATATCCCAGGAGTTAAACTGACTTGATGCTATACTCTGATTAAAAAGTGTTCCTTTAATTTTTTTTTTTAGCAGTGTATATTGTAACTTACCATTAGATGTGGTGGCTGCATTAGTTTTCCTTTACTAGGCTTTTTTTTCCTCTGTCTTCACCTGGTGATCTGGCCAGTAACACACCTTCTGTATAAGTTCTCAAGAACACTGCAGCTCAAAAAAGCTGCTTCTTCAGGCATTCAAGGCATTCAAGCATTTTTTTTCTCTGCTCGTAAACTCCCCTCCATGTTAGCCTATGTGTCCATACACACATAGGCATTTTCTGGAGACAAGTGGCAGGGGAGTTCAGAGGCAATAAATAAAGAACATCACTTGTACATTCAGGAGAGGAGCTTCTGAGCATAACAAATGCTAAAAAAGGTGTTAACATGCATAAACACTAAGCAGGTTAATGTATGTTCCTGTGTGAATGCATTCTAAAGGCCAGAATTCATTATGACCAGGCAAAGGAATGCGCATTACCACCCATGCATAAATATAGCTTTTTACAGAGCTTTTGAGTGTGAAAAACTAAAGCACGCTAATGTGCAATAATGCTAAGCATGTTAATGCATGTTCCTGTGAATTCTGGCCAATAGAATGCATTTACGCCAGGCGCAGGAACGTGCATTAACACCTGTGCCAAAAAGCAGCTTTTTACACAGTTTTTTGATGCTGCAAACTCCTGTAGGAGGGAAAATGTTTTGTTTTTAACCCCTTGGCGCCGGCGCCTCCTGGCCCTTTAAGGGTTTCAGAAGCCGGGGGGCGGGGCAAGGTTTTTTAGGGTCATGTGACCGCTGTGATTCGCCATCATGGCGGTCACATGATCGGGAAAGGTCCCGATCGAAGGAGGAGATCGGGACCTTTCTGTAAGTACTGGACATGTGTGCTGGGAGCGCGCGCTCTCAGCACTTTATTTTTTTATTACACACAAATGTGCGGCCGCTCGGCGTCTAGGCCCAGATGCCGGGAGGCTGCACATTTGGCGTGAAGAGGTTAAGCTTACAGTGTGCATAAGGCCTTAAGAGTGCTCCAGCTCTGGATGAAGGAGCGGGGGGGGGGGGGGGGGGGGGGGGGGGCCTTTGGACAACAGCATTGTTAACCTTGGGGGGGGAGGGGAGTGTTAGATGCACTAGAAGATTTAGATACACAAACAAATTGAAGCTGAACTCCAGCTAATGCTTTATAAGCAGTTACAGCAAACTCTTTTTTTTTTTTTATTCCTTTTGGGATAAAGGTTTTACAGAAATATATAAAAGCTGATCATTGTGAGCACTCCTGTCGGTAGTAAATGGTTTGTGTCAACCCTGTAACTGCTACATCTGCAGGACAGCTTGTTCTTTTGAAAAACAACTACTGGCCAGATAACCAGGGGAAAATTAAATGAAGGAAAGCATAAAAAAAGAAAACGAATGCTGCCATCACATCTAAGAATCGGTAAGTTCCTAATGAGACTAAGAATTGGTCAGTTGCAATATAATAAATGCTTGCTTTAGGGTTAATACTGATTTTACTTGTGCCATATTTGAGATTTCTCTCAGCAAAATATATTATTAAAAATCAGAGGAATAAATAACCATAATAAAGAAAAGGGGTGAACAGCACAGAAATACGTACAATAATGTGAAGAAAAAAAAAAAAAAACCAAGCCACTTAACTATGAGAATCATGTCTAAAAAACCTAGACTCAGATTGGTGATGCAGGGACCCCATAATAAGGGCCAGAGGTATCCAACAGAACTTACTTGTACAATTACCAGAAAAATAATTCTGGGGCTCTGAATTTGTTTCCTGTTCATTTCCGATGAATATTCTGTTAATCAGTCTCTGTTTTTATCCTAAGGCAGGCCATACATGATGCGATTTTCTTTCCTGCAACCACATCTGAACAGACATGGATGCCACAAAGTGACATTTGTCCCATTCTGCTCTGATTCAGCAGGGGTTCTGTTCACAAATCCCTTGTTGAACAGACCAGACGGTGCTTGTGGGAAAGGGGCCCTATATGTTTATTCTAGCTCAATAAATCAAAATGACTGAAGCTACTGAAGCAGCATGACAGTCAAGCAACTAAAACTTTTTAGAGGTCAGCAGTGGCAGCCTTCCTCTGCATACTTTCTGCAAAAAATTAAAAATGTCCCTTTTAGCAGCTAAGGATGGATTCAAACTATACGCACGTTCCTAACTCCAGAAACTACAAAGCAACTCATTCACTCCCTGATCATATCACGACTTGACTACTGTAACTCCGTCCTCGCTGGCCTACCCCAACACAGGCTATCCCCGCTTCAGTCTATCCTAAATTCTGCGGCCAGACTCATCCACTTTACCAACCGCACTGTATCCGCCACCTCCCTCTGCCAATCCCTCCACTGGCTTCCGATTGCCTAACGCATACAATTCAAAATAATAACACTGACGTACAAAGCTGTCCATAACACTGCCCCTAACTACATCACCAACCAAATATTCATTTATTATTATACAGTATTTATATAGCGCTAAAAGGTTTGCTCATAGCTGTATATTACAGTGGGGGACAGTACATGAGACAATACAGTAACAATACACGAGGGGGTCAAGGGCCCTGCTCTTTCGAGCTTACAAAGCCAAAACGCACTCTCCGCTCCTCACAAGACCTTCTACTGTCTAGTTCCCTGGTCTCCTCCTCCCATGCCCGTCTCCAGGACTTCCCCCATCCTCTGGAACTCACTACCCCAATCCATCAGACTGTCACCTACCCTCCTCACCTTTAGGTGCACCCTGAAAACCCATCTCTTCAGAGAAGCTTACCCCGCCCTCACCTAATTGCCGATCTCCTCCGCTCTTCCCACCACTCCATCCCCCACAGCTATTTCCTCCTGTACCACTCTCCCCTCCCTCCTAGATTGTAAGATCCAAGGAACAGGACCCTCGAGTATTGCATTGTTACTGTGCTGTCTCGTGTATTGTCTCCCATTATAATGTACAGTGCTGAGCAAACTGTTGGAGCTATATAAATACTGTATAATAAGTAATACAAAAAAATATATATATATATTATATATATATATATATATATATATATATATATATATACATACATACACACACACATACTTTTTTATTATTTATGTATTTTTAATTATTATTAGCCTTTCTTTAATTCTTGTGGTTTCTTGCATTTTACCATTATATAAATACATAGGAATAAGTTTTATTTTATTTCAGGTACTTTTATAGCGCTGTCAATTTACGCACCACTTTACATACATATATTGTACATTCACATCAGTTCCTAACCTTCAAGGGGCATACAATCTAAGGTCCCTAACTTACATACAAGTACACATAAAACATGTCACATATACAGTGCATGCATGTCACAATAAATACAACAAAAAATATCCAAATAATGCAGTAAAATGTACATTATAGCCATCCACTAAAACACAGTTTTATGCAAACAGATGCCAATCGTCACAATTTCAGCATTCATGCCCTGATGCAGACTGCAGATAATGTAGGTCATGGCAGGCTGAGCAGGTGACGCATTTGAGGGCATCCAGTTGTCATTATAAGTGAAGCCTCTGATCTATCACCTATGTAAATATGAACATCAGAAGTGTCTCCTGTACTCACCATGTGTCTGGTTGACAGTCACTTTGGGTTGTAGGTCATTGGCATTCTGACTGTAGGGCCTCCTGTAGAGTGCAGATCTGCTCCCTGGCTGCACAACACACACCTTTCTCAGCAGAGATGACACAGAGGCCAGGCTGAATCTGGACATGATGTGCAGAGATGGATGGATGGGCAGCCCAGTGTACACAGGTGAGTCCTGCGGTGTCAGTCTGCTGAACTCTCCTCTAACAAACTTCCTCCCAATCAGTGTGCAATGACGGCCACGGCAGGAAGTCTAATCTCTCTCATCACATTGGCTGGGCGATTGCTGAGTCACAGTGAGAAGCTCAGTCTGGACAGGATCAGAGGAGGAGACACCCAACACATGCACAGGAGGGGGGCCCACACATGCACAGGAGGAGACACCCAACACATTCACAGGAGCGGGGCAGCACATGCACAGGAGAGGAGGGGGGGGGCCCACACATTCACAGGAAGGACACCCAGCACATACACAGGAGAGACACACAACACATGCACAGGAGAGGGGGGCACACATTCACAGGAGGGACACCCAGCACATACACAGGAGAGGGGGGCACACATTCACAGGAGGATGCAGCATATACACAGCTTGTCTGCTGCAGACAGACAGCTTATCTTTGAATACAGACAGCTGATTACATTGTTATTGTACTACTCACTCCAAAGATACAAACGTGCTACTTTTGCAACATAGTGACCTAGTATTCAGCCTGTGACCCTCTATGACTTCACCAGCAATAATAATAATGCGGAACAAACAAAAACCTGCAACTGTTTTGGAGAAAGTTTTGTGTCCACAGCATCATCCAAGTAATGGTAACCATACACATAATGTTATCACCCAATTGATGTGCAATTCAATCAAAATGATCAAATCAGACACTAATCAAATAGCCCTAACTTCCCTCCCAATTCATTTATATTGGCCATACACGATTCGATTTTATAATCTGACCAATGTACAACTCTTGTTCGATTTGCAGCAGCCATGTGTACTTTGATTTTTCTGTTTAATGAACAATTTGATCAAAACGATTAAATCAAAAAACAATTGAATAGCCATACCTCCCCTTCCAATTGATTTATGGTGGCCATACATGCGTTGATTTTATTATCCGATCAACATGCAGTTCAATAAAAGTGATCAAATCAGAAACTGGTCAAATAGCCATAACTCCCCTCCCAGTTAATTTATGGTGTTCATACAGGCTTTGATTTATTAGCCACTTGATGTGCAAATCGATCAAAATGATCAGATCAGAAACTGATCAAATAGCTGTAACTTCCCTCTCAAACGATGTATGGGGTCTTCGATGTTATCCAATCAATATGCAATTCCATCTAACCCTAGGTTCACACCTAAGCATTTTCCGCAACGTTTTTCAGAAACGCACAGCAGTCCATTTAACATGATTTCCTATGGGACACGTTCGCATCTCTGCGTTTTCACCCAGTGCATTTTTGGAAAGGGTCGGGATTTTCTTAAATGCAAAAAGTTGCGTTTTTGGTTCTATAAACTTCAATGGAATCACTGCAGAAAAGCATGTAGTGCGTTTTTGCTGTGTTTTGTGTTTTAAATCTGCCTAGCAACAAGAAAAAAATGGAAAAAAATAAAAAACTGCAAAACGCATCAAAAATGCATCAACGCATGTGCAAAAACGCACTGCAGAAACGGATCAAATGTAAACTGCATAGGTGTGAACCTAGCCTAAACCATTGAATCAAAAACCAATCAGCCATAACTTTCCTCCTGATCGATGCATAGTGGCTATACAGGCTTCAGTTTTATTATTCGATCGATGTGTGATTTGATCAAAGTGACTGAATCTTAACCCAATTGAATAGCTGTAGCTTCCTTCCTGATCGATGTATGGTGGCCATACAGGCTTCAGTTTTTATTATCCAATCAATATGCAGTTCAATCAAAACAATCAAATCAGAATCTGTGTGAATAGCTATAATTTCCTTTTTGATCAATTTACGGTGGCTATACATGCTTCCATTTTATTATCTGATCAATGAGTGTTTCAATCAAAATGATCAAATCAGAAACTGGTTGAATAGCCATAACTTCCCTCCCAATTGATTTCTAGTGCCCATAAATGCTACAATGTTATTATCCAAGCAATTTGCTATTTGATCAAACCAATCGAATCAGAAAACATTGAACAGCCATAACTTCCCTCCTGATCAATTTTTGGTGGCAATATACACTTCCATTTTATTATCCAATTAATGAGCAATTCAAAAATGATCAGCAAAATGTTAAAACCAGAAACCAATCGAATAGCAATAACTTCCCTTCTGATCGATTTATGGTGACCATACATTAATTGTTAGCTCCACAAGCAGGGTCCTCCTGAACCTCTTGTATTGACTTGTATTCTAAGAGATTCAATCAAACTGAGCCGTTAGGCCAGGGTGGAAAATCATTGATCATTTTGCATCGGTCAGCAACACTGAGATGCTTTGTTCATGAATCAGATTTCATGATGAAAATCAAGATGTGATTGAGAATTAATGATTGTATCTTCAAACTTTGGGTTAAGGCTCACTTCTCTGTGTGTGACATTTCGATTAAATGGGTTGTCAACTATTGATTGATTATTCCTATCTGGACAGATCAATCAGGACAGAAATCAATAATTTATTGGACCATGTATGGGCCTGGGCAGAAAACTATTGATTGTTTTGCATCAATCTGCAGCATTGAGATAGTTTGATCATAAGTCTGAATCTATTTCATCTGATCGAATTATGAGTTTGCCTGGTGGAAACAGAGACACTTTCAATAACTTTCAATAACTGGCCAACTTATCAGCCACCTATTAATTGAAATCAACTTTCCTGTGTGTGGCATAGCGATTGTGTTGTCGGCTATCAATCCATTATTCTTGGGAGAGAATGATCAGAAAAGAAATCGATCATTTATGGAAGAATAGTAGCACAAGGACCTGCCTGCATGGATACAAATTGATTGGTTCGGCTAGGTTAGGTAGGCACTCATATTACATAGTTTTGATAAATCTAAATTTGATGCTACAAAGATTGTATGGTCGTATTTTGCCGTCTATAGTGACCCTGAAGCAGCCCATAGATGAGTCAACCAGTGGCTTGAACAACAACAAAAAAACCTGGCCTGATTCACCTATCCACACATTTGATGTGAAATGGGGGGCTCTTCCTGCTGAGCTATTGTATTCTGACAGTGCGTCACTTCCCCTTCATCAGAATACACTAAATTGTAGGCTATAACCTGTGGTACTCATTGGGCAGAAGAAAAATTGACAGGGCAGTTCTACAGAAGTCGATCGGTAGATTTACTTCTGTACAACCTCAGTGCCCATAAGAGGATCAAAAATCGGCTGATTCCTGCTGAACTGACCACATTTTGATCTATGGATGGCCTGTTCACAGTCTGTGTTTAAGAGGAGCTTTGCAATTGGCTAGAATTGGCACCAAGGGCACAAGTCCCTGCCTCACTCTTGTCCTTTTTCTAGAACACTATCCATCCTGCTGAGTCCAAACCTACAACCATACTGTGCCCTCTCCATGCATGAGGCCTCCACATGACATTCCCAGCCATTGACCTTTGTATCCCAAAGAAGAAATTTCTGCACAAAAAAAGATTTCTGCCAATCACATTTAGTGGACAGTCCACAGTAGTTACATGTGAAAGCATATGCAGCACTTTGGCAGCCATCTTCCCTCAGACAGTCTCTCTCTTCAAGTGTCACTTCATAGCTCTACAAAGTTGGGTATGCTCTGCAGTTACTCTCCTTGCCCGTTAGGATTTAGGCATCCAGCTCACAACTCTCCTTTATTCGTTCCAGAGACAGGATTTCTGCAGTTGCTTCTGTACACCTCTCCTGGGACTTCTTCCTTGAGCAGGACCTTGTCTGTGCTGACTACATCTGCATAGGTATGGGGTACTTGGCTTACATGCCCCTCTGCACTAGGACTGTTCCCAATCTGGCTTCTATATGGGTGCTGCCTCACCCATGACATCACTGCAGAAGGACCTCAAAGGAGCCTAGCACCTGATAACACTGCGGTAACCAGACACTATTCTGACACAGAGCTACCTGCTGGCAGACTAGTTAGCTGCACCTGCCTACATGCATCCAGGACCGATCACTCTCAGGTGATGAACAGATACATGTGAATGGCAGCCTGCCATTGCTTTCAGTGGAGCTGCCTCTCTCAGCTAATTGCCGGGATCCCCGTCTGGGGTTCTTCTATGTAGACACTGTCAGGTCCATTCGCAGCAGTGACTGTGGTCTTATCCGTCACATATGTACAGTAAGGACCATTTCACACTATAGAAATGCAGTCCAGATGGATGCGTTTTTGCATGTGCTTTTTTCATGCATTCCAGTGCATTTTTGATGCTCTTTTGACGCGTTCCAGTGTGTTTTTTATGCATTCCAGTTAATTGTTTCCTACTCTCTTTTTCTCCAATTTAAATAGGGACATGTGGATTCCAGTGCGTTTTTGGTGCATTCCGATGTTTTTTGATGCTTTTTACTGCGTTCCAGTACAGTTCTGTGCAGAAAAAAATGCAGCATGCTCTACTTTTTTCTTCTGCAACTGGAACGCACTGGAACTGAAAGTACTGATGTGAACTATGACATTGACAACCATATAACCTACTTTCTGTGTGTTTTGGATGCAGAAAAAACCAACTGAAATGCATGTAGTGTGAACAACCCCCCCAAAAAAAAAAAAAACAAAAAGAAATTAAAAGTCAGCAGCTACAAATACTGTAGCTGCTAACTTTTAATATTAGGGCACTTACCTGTCCAGGGATCCAGCGGTGCCCTCACCCTGAACTGATTCTTCAATCGGCTGTCAGGTGCTGGCTCCGCCATCTTGTTTCTTCAGTTTAAAAAAATTGTGGCAAAAAATCACCAAGGGGGGATGGTCATGCTGGTACTAAGGTGCTTTAAATTATTATTATTATACAGGACTTATATAGCACCAACAGTTTGCTCAGCGCTTTACAATATAACGGGAGACAATACAGCAACAATACAGTTCAATACAAGAGGGAAAGGAGGGCCCTGCTCCTCGGAGCTTACAATCTAGGAGATTAGCATGCAATGCTACAGAACTCTCTCCTTC